AGACAGAGTGGGGAGCAGAACAGGCTGACTGACGAAGTACACTGCTGAGGGGAGCAGCCGGCGAGTCAGGAGAGGTCTCCCGCACCCTGTGGATCACCACCAGGATGGGGATTGAACTCATGCTGAAGTGGTTTTAGCTTCTTAGTGCTGTGCTTTAACCCGCTGCGCCACCAAGGAGGGCCCAAGTTACCTATATTTTAACCATTTATATCAATAATAATGATGGTTATACACAAAACGTTTTCATATGTTACCATTTAGTCTTCACATAATACCATAAAACCTCCCTACTTTACAGATAATGAAAATTAACCTAAAGAATTGTCAACTTATCTGAGGTTATAAAACTGACAGAGTAAGGACAGGAACTCAGTCCTTTGGCTCCAAAGTCAAGATTCATAACAGTATGGCTGTCTTTTAAAAATATAGTTTGCAAGGATTATATGATCCAATTATGAACTGATTCAAATAAAAATGTCTCTACCTACTGGTTTGTCATAGATGTAACTCACAGAGTAAAGTCTGTTCAGTACCTGATTACTTAAATGTAATTACTTACTTTTTAAAAACCTACCTATACATTCAAGAGAAAAATCTGTCCTCTTATCCCTAATTAATGGAGTCGTTACTGTAGCCATAAGAAGCGAAGCCTCTGTAGTGTGGTGGAAGAACAGGGTGTGTTTATTATTACTTCAGTCCACTGGAACTAGAAGGTGGGAGTTGTATTTTCTGCTCAGACTGCTGCTCCTGCTGCCAGCTCCTGGTATGCTGTGGGTCTGACTCACTCAACTCTCTTTGTTCTCTGTTATTATTAGGATAGTTAAGCCCAAAGTGGCGTCAATGGAGGAGATGGCCGCCTTCCACACGGATGCCTATCTGCAGCACCTCCAGAAGGTTAGCCAAGAAGGAGATGATGATCACCCGGACTCCATAGAATACGGTCTAGGTAAAGTCACTAGGGGCGAGGACGTGAGATGGACAATCTCCATCTGCAGTTTGCAGCTACTTAATCTTTTGTCATTTGGATGATGGTCTTTATTTTTTGTTGTTGTTGGTAATTTTTTTCTTACATTGTTGTAGTTCCCATAGTTCTCCCACTATCATATGACCTGTGAACCATGCATGATGGTCTTTACACAAAATCTTGATCTTATTCATTCAGCCCTAACACTTAACAAGTAAGCCTTATCTATGGAGTAAAACTAAACATGAATCAGATGGAGGAAACACTTCAGTTGTTTCTGCCTAGATAATGGTGCCCAGATTGGGCTTGAGTGTTCAGGTATTGTGCATATGCTGTGTCTTTGTTGATTTAACTTCTCTGTGAGCTTTTGTTTTTACTTGAGTACAGATGTATGTTCTGGTTCACTTTGCTACCTCATCTCCCATTGAAAAGCTGCATTTTCAAAAATTGTAAATAGTCATAGGATGATTTGGTAGAACACTGGTCTGGGATGTGCAGTAGAGGGGTTAAAAGGCCTGGGTCCCAACCTGGCTCTTTGTGCCCGTAGATAAGAAAAACTGCCTCTCAAGCCTCAGTTTCTCCATCTGCAGGAGGCAACTAGTTAATCTTGAAGGGTTAGCCTTTTTACCTCTACTATTTTTTTTTATTAAAAAGTTTATTTTTACATCATTTTGCACATTTTTTTTCCATACCTCTACTATTTTTTAAAAATTCTTTACCCAGCATTGGAGATAGTTCTTTCTCAGTTACCTGTAACACATTAGCACAGTAGCTTTTTGGCAAGGCGTATTGCCACCCAAACCCATTTTTTTTTTTAGAAGATTTATTTATGTATCCATATAGAACTGGGGTACAGACCAGAGGTTCAGGGGGGCGGTGAGAGGAGTCACCAGAGACAGAGTGGGGAGCAGAACAGGCAGATCGTCGAAGTAGGTGGAGGGGAGCAGCAGGTGGGTCAGGAGAGGTCTGCCACACTATGTGGATCACCTCTGGGCAGGCAGGGATCGAACTCATGCTGAAGTGGCTTTAGCTTCTTAGTGCTGTGCTTTAACCTGCTGCGCCACTGGGGAGGGCCCAAACCCATTCCTTTTAATAGGGTTCTGTACCCAATTCTAGTGTGTGGAGAGAGCTTTCCCCCATACCACTAAGCAGTGCTTTGGACCCCATTTAGGTGTCCTGCACTTCAACTTAATTCTGACACTACCTAGAGAGAACATCAGATTACACGGGTAAACCGCCCTGTCCCACAAGCCTGCCCTCCACTTCAGCCACCAGTGTCTCACACCCATGTTATTTGCTGTGCTTCTGATGGATAAGCTACAAATTGGAGGCTCCAGTAACTCCTCCAACTCAGGATGCCAATGCAAGTACTTCTGAGCAATTAGCTATGAATTAGAAGCTCCATGACCCACCCCTTGGATTTGATTAATTTGCTAGAGCAGACACAAAACTTAGGAAACCCATTTCTTCACTATATTTACTTATAAAAAGACAAAATCTAGGAACAGTCAGATGGATGAAATGCACAAGGGCAAGACACGGGACAAGGACATGGGCCACGCCCTCTCCTCATACTCACCTGTATTTGTTTACCAATCTGCAGACTCCGCAAATCCTCTCCTTTGGGTTTTTTATGGAAATTTCATTACATGGGCATGAAAGATGAAATCAGTGGCCATTCATTGGTAGTTGAATTCAGTCTCTGGCCTTCTGTCACATGCTTGGCTCCTCTGGCGACCCCAGCCCCCACCTTAGGCACCTTCTAAAGGTCAACTCATTAATATAACAAAAGACTCCTGTTTGACTTTCTTCACTTAGGCAATTCCTAGAGTTTTTAGGAGCTTTATGCCAGAAACAATGATTAAGACCAAATCTAAACAGTTGACCCTTAAACAATGCAGGAATTAGGAGTGCCAACTCCTAGTGCAGTAAAAATCCTTGTATACCTTTTGACTCAAAACCTTATAACCAGTTGTTGATGGGACGCCTTACTAATAATATAAATTGTGGTTTGACATATATCTTGTGTATTATATGTATTATATACTATATTCTCACAACAAAGTAAAGAGAATACTAAGAACGTGGTAAGGAAGAGAGAAGGCATTTACATTTATGCTATTGTACTGTACTGATACCATCTGTACATGCTATCAGTCTGCAAGCAATCCACGAGTGTGACCACTCAGTTCAAAACTGGTGTTTAGGGTCAGCTGTATTTCTTACTATAAAGCAAAATATCACACATCTTTTTATAATTCCCCTCTTAAAAAGTTCTTCTGTTATTTGCCCTCAGGTTATGACTGCCCAGCCACTGAAGGAATATTTGACTATGCAGCAGCAGTAGGAGGGGCCACAATCACAGCTGCCCAGTGCCTGATTGATGGGATGTGCAAAGTAGCAATTAACTGGTCCGGAGGGTGGCATCACGCAAAGAAGTAAGAAAATGACCTTCCTGCTTTCTGCCTCTTTCCTTGAGTCATAGACACCCATACATAACTCTCAGTTATGTACACGCTTAAGCTTGTTGTATTGGCATTTGTTGAGAGACTTGTGTAGATAGCACTACTCGGCGTTCCGAAGAGACACCAGGGCCAGTTGAGCTTGTAAATAAAAGAAGATGAGTTAATATGATAGGAAGCACATTGATGAGAGTCAGGACACCAGGGCTCTTTTTGATACCAGCTGAACATGTGTATGAGCCCAAGAGACTTAGCAATAGGAAGAAATTAATCATAGAAGTGTTAGAAGAGGTGAATTTTAGAGTCAGTTCTTGGAAGACTTGGAAAATATTGTCAGGTAGGTTGGGAGGTGATGAAAATGGATTTTAAACAAAAATCAGAAGAAACAAGGAGGTCTGTTTATGTGTCCATCTCAGGACTGGGGCAACTAAAATTTAGATGTCACAATAAGGAAAAAGGACTTGTGAAACAGCTGTCCTTAGATGCTACTTGGAGTTTTGTGGAACATTTCAACGAGCTATCTTCAGTGTCTGACAAGGAGTGGTGGGCCATATTCAGCATTTGGAATCTTGTTTGATAATGTCTGTAAAATATAAGATATGTTGGAAGAGGGGGATTTTTAACACTGCACTTATCAGTGTGCTATGTGAGTGATATGAAGCAGGTTATAACTGTTGTGAATGCATCATTCACAAGCCAATTGTTTGTATTCTTGGCCATGAAGTTGGTACCCCTCAGTGCTCTTGTTTCATGTGAAAACAAGTCTATTTTTCAGAATAAAACCTTGACACTTTTAGCATATTCAGGTTAAGATGATAACATGGGCTACTTGTCATCAATCATTTCATGATCAAGGAAGTCCATGGGAACGTTTACTACTAGAAGCTACTGATGAAACGATGGAGCAAAGAGCACCAATACTTAGTAATGAGTTTTATGTGGCCTTAAAAATAAAGATAAGCAGCATGCATTTTTGTTAGCTTTTACTCTGTTTTTACAAATTCAAAGTAAGGACAGTGATACATAAGGGGGAAAAATGACCATCTCTCTTTCAAGCTACAGATAAAGAAAAAAAAAAGCTCTCTGAACCAAGGAGTTCTTACTCTGTTGTGCCTAATGAATTGAGAAGAAATGTAATTTCATGCCTAGTCCTGGGTGTCCAATCTAGTTTTGACCTGTGGTCCTGGGGGCTCTTATGTAAATTCACTGCTTTAAAGCCTGTTAGGACTCGGTCTGTTTCCAGTGGAATACTCAGATATCTGACACTTATCGTTGCTTTGCTGCCAGAGGGGGAATACTCTATCTTGAGCCAATCATGGATGCTTCTGTGCGCCAATCATGGATGCTTCTGTGCTGCTTGAGGGTGAGGCATACCCACCCACCATTATCTTACTGTTTCAAAAGACTCTCAGCTGACTCTGCTTGGAAACAAACACCTGTGGTGAATATAAATTACGGAGCATCTAAGGATTGCCTTACCCAATTCAGGTCCAAGTTCCAAGAGGTTCTCATCACCTTTAGAACCTTTCTGCAGATGGACCACAGGCAGTTGCCTATAAACTTAAGTTTTGCCAGCATTTAGCCACAATATTTGTTTAAACTTCCCCCTGCCATTTGTTCATTTGACAGGCATTGACTAAGCACCTACTATCTGTCAGACATGTGTTTATTATCACTAATAAACAGACATGTAGAAATTGAAGCATGTTATATTTTTCCCCTACTAATTTTGAAAATAAAAGAACACTTCAAAATACCTAGGTACTGAGTGTGAAATTGGCACACTCTTTTTGAAAACTCCGGAAGTAAGTTTTTAAAAAGTAGGAAAAATGTTCAGACCTACTGACCCAGTGCTATTATTCTTAGAAAACTAGTCTAAGGAAGTAAAACTAATCCTGCTTTCAAGAAATTCATATCTTGAAGGAAAGATAGTATACATGATTGCATTTGAAAGATAAAGAAAAATGACTTTCAAATAAATTCTGCAAAAGAAGAGTAATGAGAATGCTTTTAGACATTAGACATAGAAAACTAATAAAGAGAGCGCTGCTAGCGCTGGTGTGAGATTAGACATGTTACACTGCACTCCCTGAAGAGGCTGTTAACATGAAATAATTTCATCTGTTGTAAAGAATATACTGTAAATGAATGGGAGCAAAAAGGATTATTCAGTAAATGATGTTGTGACAGCTGGTAGTATTAATGCTCTCATCTTCTGTATTAAGCTAAAATAGTAGCAGCTGCTTTGAAGAGTTAACTCTTCCAGTTTTACAAAGCACATTTTTAAAATTAAATGAATATTAAACTTTTAAAGAAGAGTTTTTTTTTTAAGATTTATTTATGCATACAGAGCTGTGGTATAGGCCAGAGGAGCAGGGGAGGTGAGAGGAGTCACCAGAGACAGCGTGGGGAGCAGAACAGGCAGACCAAGGAAGTACACTGCTGAGGGGAGCAGCGGGTGGGTCAGGAGAGGTCTGCCACGCCATGTGGATCACTTCTGGGATGGGAATGGAACTCATGCGGAAGTGACTCTAGCTTCTTAGTGCTGTGCTTCAATCCTCTGTGCCACCTGGGAGGGCCCTAAAGAAGAGTAGTTTTTCTGTAGTTGGATTTTAGGATACACACTTATTTTTGTCTTTTATTCACTTTGTACAATTCCGTAAAAATGAACACAAGAGTCTCCTATCTTCTTTTTCCAGAGTAGATATAACTTGTTCCAACAAGTTTTCATTATTGCTTTAGCATGCTGTCATGTATGGCTCGCTTGGTTTAAAGCATTAAAAATATAGTTGCTAAGACACTGCTAAATATGTCTGTCTTTCATTTATTATGCTGGTGGAAGATAGAAAACAAGATTTGAGATTCAGCAAAGTAGCTTTGTGATGACAAGACTGTAGTTTATCTTGGAACATGCTGAGCTTTGAATTCTTTATATTTTTATAAGTGGTTGTTTTTCATGTTAATTTTCTTTTTCTTATTTTTGTTGAGACAGTGTTGGTTTACAACCCTGTATATGTTTTAGGGGTATAGGTTTACACGTCTTGAAATGTATGTTGCTACACTACACCTACTGCTAAAGCATCAATATTCCTCTAAAATAGTCCATTAGACCTCTCCACTTTGCTCTGCCCCATCCCCTCCCTCTCTGGATCCTCAGTGCTAGTCAGATTTCAAGGGTTTGTTCTGGTTTGTTTTTGTCTATTCTTTTATTTGTTTATTTTTTAGTTTCACATGTGAGTGAAATCATGGTATTTGTCTTTCTCCTTCTGACTTGTTTTGCTTAGCATACTCTTCTCCAGTGCCATTCATGTCAATGCAGATAGCAAGATTTCCTCGTCTTACAATTGAGAAGTATTGTACTGTGTATATACACTGCATCTTCCTTATCCACTTGTCTGTTGTTGGGCGATAAGGTTATTTCCATAACTTGCCTATTATAAATAGTGCTGAAGTGAAAATAGGAGTGCACATATCTCTTCAAAGTAGTGCATATGTATTCTTCCGAGAGACACCTAGGAGTGGGGTCACTGGTTCATGTTGAATCTTCTATTAATATTTTGAGAAACCTGCATACTGTTGTCCATTAGGGTTGGACCACGGTACATACCCACCAATAGTGTACGAGGGTTCCTTTTCCTCCACAACCTCACCAACACTTGTTTCTGTTTATATTTATATGGGCCATTCTCACAAGTGTGAGGTGGTATCTCATTGTGGGTTTGATTTGCATTTCCTTGATGGTAAACGATGATGAGCATTTTTGATGGTCTTGGATCAATGTTGGTAGATGTATGCTGGACAAATATCTTCTCTCATTTGGCAGGGTGTCTTTGATTTAATGGTAGTTTATTTTGCTGTTCAGAAGCTTTTTAGTTTGATTTAGTCCTAGTTTATTTTTTGCTTTTGTTTTCCTCACCACGGACTTGAGATCCATACATGTCATTGAAGCCACTGTTGCACAGTCATTGACAACTGTTCTCTTTTATGTATTTATAGTTTCAGGTCTCTAATCCATCTTGAATTAATTTTTGTTTATGGTATAATGTAGTGGTCTGGTCTCTATCTTTTGCATGTGGCTGTACAGTTTTTCCAGCAGCATTTCTTGAAGAGACTTTACTTGCTTCATTGTTCCTGGCTCCAAAAAGCAAATTTTAAGATTGTATGCACACTGCAATTACAACTTCATAAAAGACATGCATATAAAAGGAAAAAAAACCTCAGTGGGCATGATAATAGTGTATGTTAGAATGGGAGAATTACTGATGCTTTAAAAAATAGTTTTCTCCAATTTTCAAAATTTCTGTAATGATATTTTACTTTTACAGCCTAAATTTTTACCAAAATAGAGGCAAAAAGTTATGACAAATATAACAAAGGTTTAAAGTCTTTACGTTATTTATTATTTAAATCACTAGTATATAGATAAATGGGCAAAAGCCATGAACTGGAATTTCACAAAAGAGGAAGCAAATGATTAATGAACAAAAAGATGTTAAACATTGCTACTAATTTAAGAAGTGCAATTGAATTATATGTACATGTTATATTTTCCTCCTATCAAATCTGAGCCAAAAAAGCAGCTTTCTAACTTGTAACATATATTACTCTTGGTATCATACTGTATAGTTCTAAACAGTGTAAGCTATAGAAAATTGGTGTATGTGAAAATGACAATTTCTCTTATTTAGCAAAAGTGGGGGGGGGGCAGTAGGGAAACAAATATTCAACAGCATAATGGTTAGGTAGTATACTGTAATACTCTACTTGATGAGTTATAAATAACTTTTCAAAATGTTTAGTACAACTGCATAACAAGAAAAATTACATATCCTATAATGTTGACTTTATTCATAAAAGATATCTTAGAAGGAAATCCAACAAAATATGACTGTGAGTATGACAATATCGCAATTGCTATGATTGGATAATCAATATATCCATGATATATTGATATTATATATATATTTGCACCTTTT